GCAGGTGCCGGGGATGCGGAGGGGGTTGCTGGGTTTGAAGCGCGGCGAGGGAGAGTGAAATAAATATCGGGGCGCCATGGCGTGCCTCCGTCCGCCGAGAGTTGCCTGCTTCAAGCTGACAAGGGGAAATACTGCAAATGCCCCACCAACACGCTGTAAATTGTTGAGCATCCCCAGCGCGTTCCCGAAACTGACCCTTGGAAATATAAATAGCAATTTTAAATGACACGCCCGGGGCGGGGGGGAGGGGGGGATCCAGTGAGAAAATCTGCATAGTTGTTTCCTGCTTTTTTTCAAAAACGATACGCCGAAGGTGGGGGGAAATCCAGCAAAAAAATCTGAATAGTCATCTCCTGCTTTTTCTAGATTCCGGTTGAAACAGAGAATATACATACATACATATGTACACGCACACATTAATCTTGATTTGGCACATGCTCTGCTAACCCTGTTGTCTGCACAGGCTATTATGTGGATCCTCTTGTCATCTTTCCAAGGGTAAAATACCACAGCCTGTGTGTGCATTACACTTCCCCATCTGATCTAGTCACTACTCATTCACAGAGCCACCATTATGAAAGAGCAATTTCTTAACCTTTAGGAACACTACTTCATGCTTCTGCATCAGTCCTGGGTTTGTTTATTTTTGGTTTTCCACTTGAGAGTTGGAAATGAGATTTTATGAGTCCTCTAAGGTTTTTACAGGACTCCCTAACCCTCTCACCTCCAGCTCTTGTGCAATGACATTTGTCTAACTTTGTGAGTTTGTCCTGGTGTCTCCCTCCAGTCTAGCCCGTCAGGAGAGGGCTTCCTTTTCAAGAACCGATTAGCAGAGGCCTCTGAGGAGAGACAGCATCAGACAATAGGGTAGAGGTATTCTCAAGTGAGAAAACACGACGTTACTGTATCCCAGAGGAAAGCTGATAGTCCGTTACACAATGCCCCGAATGAACCAGTTCCCAGGAGGCTACCGCAAGAGGGGAATTAAGTGGAGGATTTCTAGATGCAGAAAACGAGTCAGGCTGAAACGAAGCTGCCTGTGAGAGGTGCCACCTGAAGCGCCAGCCCATGGTGCCACAGCTCCTAGCCTCCCTGCAGCGGGCCACCACCTGGGGACAGCCTGTGGCTGGGCAAGACCCCTGCCTGGGCAACACACGGGGCCACCAGCCTGGCACTGCCCCGTGGTCGCTGTTGGTTTCGGGGCTGGGGTTGGGGGAGCACCCCTCAGGCAGGTGTTGCATCTACGTGAGGATCCTTTTATCCATCAGCAAACAACCGAAGTGAGGCAAAGGCAGGTGCATAGCGATGCACAGCATGCAGCTTTCATGCAGCTTTCATGCAGCTACCATGCAGCTTTCGGAGCAACAAGGTGTTCCAGCTACATTTCCCAGAGCAATATATTCCGAGTAAACACAAAAAACAAAGATTAGTTGTTCTATTTAATATTTCAACACAAAAGCTCAAAATGAACTTATTTAGCTGAATAATATTTACAAAACATAATGAACAATGTTTTTACCTGCATTTTTCCTGTTGGTACCAAATAACATAGCGTGGTGATTTGCAATCATGCCAGCCTGACATAAAGCTGGATGGTTTGGTTCCAGAAAGCAGTATTTTAACAGCAAGGAAATAACTCCTCTTTATGTAAAACAGTTCCCTCTTGTGGATATTCTGTGTACAGTGTCACAGACAGAAAGTATTTAAAATATTCATCAAACCTGGACCTTGGCAATTAAAAAAAACCCTCCACTCCAGCACGCAGGACAATCTTGCTTTTAGTTACTGAAAGTGCAAGTAGGGGAGAATGAACTATTGTATTTAATCAGGTATAATTTAGCTGTAAAACTACTCAGCATCAATAGCATTTCTTTTTAATTAAGTGCAATAAAACCAGAAAAGCTAAAGAACGGTTGCATAACTGTACCTGTATGAGTCAAGTGTAAACCAGGGTGGTTTTATTTTACTTACACAAGGAAAAACTTCTTCATATTCCAGGAAGAAAACAATGATTAAAAGAAAGAAACCATATACTATATAAAGAAAGGAGATAATAATGGCTAAAACTATAAGGATTTCCCACTGTCCCTGAACTCTGTGCTAAAGTGGAGTGGACAGAGAAACTCCTTAGAAGAATACATTTTTCAATTAAATTAAGGAGTCCAAACTAATTGTGCCAACACAATATTGTACCAAGGATTAATTTGGCCTGATGCTTTAGAAAAATCCCATGAATGGAGCAACAGTGTAAGATATATATTTCCTAAGCATTAATTACATTATGCAAATAGTAGTTTTTCCTTAAAAAATGAAATGTGAGAGAAAAAATGTGGAACATCCCAGTTTTACTAATAGACATCTGGTCTAACTGAGTTTGGGGAAATGATGGAAAATCACTGCATGTTATTATCTTGAGGGAAGTAAACATATGCTGAAAGTATCTGTAAGACTCAAATATACCATAAACTTGGCTGCCACAACTTGTTAGTTTAATGGTTGTATTTAAAACCTTCCCATTTGATAACGGTAAAGAATAAATGTTGAACAAGCAACTTAAGGTAGGGCTTAAAGACAAATACTTTTCCAAGGAAAAATGTCAACATTCCAACAATAGGTATGTATTTATTCTCTCCAACACCAGACTTCTGGTTGCTGCCTGAATAATCCCATATAGAATGCGCTTTTGTTATCCTATGTGATAGTTTAACCATCATAAATAATTACTATTTGTAACCAACACTCTCCCTCTTTACGTTTTTGTTGTCACAATGGGACATGCTATTGGCTTTTAGAGAATTTAAGTAGCTGTGGCAGAGAAAGACCTTATACACAGAAGTACGATTAAATAATAATAAAAGTTATTTACTAGTTAATTGGCTAGATCTACTGAGGTCAGTGGGGCATTTGGTCTTGACTTTAAATGATGCGGGCACAAAATGAACTAGACTTTCATATTATCACATCTTGCACAATTAAATCTGAGCCTGGCTTTTAATGCTATTTCTTTCCTCCATGCTTACCTTTCCTAGTTTGTACTGCGAGAAGGGCAAAAAATAACACATTTCCAGTGACTAGACAGCTATAGGAACAAAAATTTGTCTTTAAAGAAGTCTGAGAGATTTTTTTTCTGAATGCAAAATGTTTGCTCTGTGAGACACTGATGAAGATGCCTTGCTGATGTAAAACACACATAAGGCTGGATCTGCTGTCCTTATCCTAAAGACACTATAGTGGAAATACTCAGTTATGCAAGGGGTGATAGTAGAGTGTATATAAAATTATCATGTCTGTATATAACTATATATCTATATCTATATCTATATATATATATTTGCATATAACAAATAATTGTCTGTAGCTTTTGTTTCTTCCAGAGAATTTAGTCAAACTACTTCAGTTCATATTAAATGAAAAACTTGTTTACCATATTTTGCATATATCCAATCCATGTTCAAAGGCTGAAGGACATATTTAGCATGATAATAAACTAGAGTCTATAACACTTTTTATCAAAGCACTTTGCAAATACAAATAAAATCAGTTTCATCACATCTCTGTAACAGTATACATGAGCACTATTCTTGGCAGC